GAGAGAGAGAGAGAGAGAGAGAGAGAGAGAGAGAGCTATGTCAGCAAATCAAAAATCAAAAACTTAAAATAAAAATTTATTCCATTATCGCTAGCATTGAAGTGAAAAAATCAATTTTCAAAATTAAATACTTATCATATTTACAAAACACACATTTGCTCGCAAAGAAAGTAATCACAAATAAAAATATAGCCTTAATAGTATTATTATTATTTTTTAAATCCGTCTGGCACAGATCAATTTAATGATTAGATCAGTGCTTGAAAATGCAGTTTCCCTGGGCTTTAATCCCTGTCCACTCATTTATATAATAGTCGGTTCAGTAATTTATTATACAAATAATACCGTAAATACTTTGTGCAAACTTCTGATATTTCTTATTTAATATGAATCGCTCTCTCTCTCTCTCTCTCTCTCTCTCTCTTTCATAACTTGACCTATCGGTGCTTTAAACTGTTTTTTTTCACTACTTATACACATTGAGTGTGAATATAATACACACAAAACCCCATCAATTGTTATATAAAGACAAACAATTGTCTGTCAAAAGAATATCAGATTTTTATTTATAAATAGCTTTTATATTTGGTATTAGAGAGAGAGAGAGAGAGAGAGAGAGAGAGAGAGAGAATCTGAAAGTTAGCAAAAGACAAATAGTATTACAAATACTATACTAATAGCAATAATACGAAAACCATTTTCAATACAATGGGTGAGAGAAAAATCACTTATTTTTTTATTTGTTTGTTTGTTTGTCACAAAAAAGTGTTTTACTATTAGTATTCTGCTATAGTTTGCCATTCATTAATCTCTTGGCCCCTATATTTTGTGTGCCTATGATATACACTACAGTACAGTAACGTAGTGTATAGTAGAATGTCATTAGGGGCACAGGTATGGTCAGGGGCTTTGTGTTTTATTTATCAACCATGCACTGTTTATACCCGGGAGATATTTTACGTATACATACTGTACTGTAGTTTAATGTAATATTTGTTATAATTATTTGCAAAATATAGTTATTATTTGTTGTTTATAAAAATTAATTTAATTCTTTAATATATAGAGCATATAAAATGTTGATAAAATTAATTAATTAAAAATACATTTATTCACAAGACATACAGCTGTACACTAATTTACATATTATGCTGATTATTATATTTAATTTTAAATTTAACATGTTCAAAAATACATTGAAACAATGGATAGTTGTTATGTTTTATAGACACTGGTATTCATCAGGCATGGGATCCCTTGGCCTTAACATACGAGTGCCAAAACATTTGCACAATTAGCTTATTGTTTGTGTCTGTATGTGTTGTCCCTCTCCTATACTTATAATAATTGTATTTTATTTTATTTTTTATTTTGCCGGAGAAGTGATTGTATTTTCGTTTCGGATTTGTTTTTTACTCAAACCCAGAATTCAATGAATAAAACGCCAGAATTTAATAGAAAAGTTGGGAAAAGTGTTGAGCGAAACACAATATAACATTAAATTCTCTATTCGTCAACAGAATTACAATTGAATTCTTGCGTCCAATCAATCATTTAGTACTCAATCAATGCATTTATTGCCTGTTTTTGTATTACAATATATGCTGTTTTGTATATTAAGTACCTATTTATTCGGTTAATCTTTCTCTCTCTCTCTCTCTCTCTCTCTCTCTCTAATACCAAATATAAAAGCTATTTATAAATAAAAATCTGATATTCTTTTGACAGACAATTGTTTGTCTTTATATAACTTCTCTCTCTCTCTCTCTCTCTCTCTCTCTCTCTCTCTTACTTTCAGAAATTTATATATTTTACAATAAGAGAGAGAGAGAGAGACGATTAAAATGAATGTCTCGTTTAAAACATAAAAAATTGAACAAAAGATTAAATCTGAAAGAAATAACAAAACAACAAATGTTTTAAATATTTGTTTCTTAAATGTTAAAAAAGATACAAAAATACTTAAAATAATTCAAACGATTCAATTCAGACATCTATATAAAAGACAAAGTAATGAAATTGAATACAACTTTCGTTTAAACGAATTTGTTGTGTAAATAACTTTTTTGTTTATTACATGTATAAAGTAGTTGAATAGATGTCACATTTTTTGTTTTACTTTTTCACTATTAATAAATTCATTTAATTCTCATTGCCTTTCATTTAAATTACTTTATAAAATATAACTCTCTCTTTCTCTCTCTCATATTAATTTTCCTCTCTTATATAATATAATATATTGGCATATAATGTATGCAGTAATCAATGCATACATTGTATGCCAATATTTTTTCTCACAGTTAGGACCGCTCCGGATGTGAGCACAAAAGGTAATGTATGGTAGGTATAAGGACGGGAGGGGAGGCTTTTGGGGTCAACACTATCACTGTTAGGGCCTAATTGATTGGATATTACTGATAATGAGTTAATATCCAATCAATATATCTATCTCTTAACTACTATGTAGCATATTATTCTATGTCATTAACTACAACTCTTACAAACAAAATTGAATTAAATATAGTTTTAATAAAATATTATATTCTTTGCAATTTTTAAACTATATTTTATATTTTACATAAATTAAAGCAAAATGATATCCAGTATGACATTCAATGAGAGCGAAAGTGATTATAGTTTTATTAATTAAATAATTAAATCAATTACTTTTTAAATACAAATGTATAATGTATTTGTTTAAGACCTAAACAAATGCAATGAATTATTATAATTAATAAATAATAGTAAAGCAATTGGATAAAGATTTATACAATTCTTAATACACATAAATTATAATGTACTTTATATCGTAATGTTATTGACAATAACTTATTGTGTACATTATAAATGCAGAATCTACATCTACATTACCTAAACATTAACATTATCCATTTGGCATGTACATTTGGCATGACTATACAGTATAGTGTACATTGTAATTAATTATCATTTGAAATTGGATATTAAAACATATTTGTGAATAAGTTCTGTAATCATTGATTACATGGAAAACATTTCGCAGTTAATTTAACGCAACCTTTATTTAAAAACATGTATAAAACTAATTATAATAAGAAATATCTTTTTGTTATATCTATTCTCATATCACTTCTAATTTCATCTATAATTTTATATTATTTTATAACATTAGACAAAGAGTGAGTTTTTGATAAATTACAAACAAAATTAATTAACAGTCATTTATTACAACAGACGTAATGCCGGTTACATTCCCCGACAAATCCATATAGCATTTGGCGGTATGTTTACTAACATTTTATACCTTGTTATCAATATTTTAAATATAATGTAATTTTTAAATATGATATTTTGTAACAATAAAGAAAATAATCAGGAGATTGTGATCGCGTGGAGCACTCGATTGGATCCGCACAAATCGGTGGTGAAGTATGGCTTTTATTGCAACCAAACGTATAAAACAGCGATTGGAGAGAGAAAACTATTGGACAGCGAAGGGGTCTTACAATACATTCATTTGGTTTCGTTAAAGCATTTGATTCCACAAACAAACTACTGTATGAAACACAATAAATGCCATACATTATAATGAATTACTAACAATTGTAGGTTATATTGTGGGCGACGGCGAGCACTGGTCAAAACCGTATGAATTTGTATCGGTTCCAAACGATCATCAGTGGACACCCAGTATTGCACTCGTGGGTGATATGGGTGTAGACAA